AAAAAAAAAGGATTATTTGTTTTTAGTAATGTTATTTATGTTGCCTGTTTCAGCCGACAGATTGTCAGTCAGAGTGTCAACGAAAATGTTAATTAAGCATGGTCCGCAATGTGTGGCGAAAACAAGTGCATATGAATGAATGTATGTATATATATATGTCACGTGTTCTATGGTATTTCACTTAAAGAAGGAAAACCATACATAGGTATGTATGTACTTATGTAAATATTTTAATTAACCACAGACAAATGATGAGATGCGCTTCGTTGGGACCGATTTATTGTTTTAAATTTAGCAGGACTAATTTTGCGTAGTATTGCGTCGAGATAACGTTCCATAATTGACAAATATTCATATACATACATGTATAAATAAATATATATTTACATACATAAGTAAAGAAACAATTTGCCATACGCGCTCGACTAAATACTTAGCACTTTCCACGATAACACAAAACTCTAAGGGTCCNCCATACATAGGTATGTATGTACTTATATAAATATTTTAATTAACTACAGACAAATGATGAGATGCGCTTCGTTGGGACCGATTTATTGATTTAAATTTAGCAGGACTAATTTTGCGTAGTATTGCGTCGAGATAACGTTCCATAATTGACAAATATTCATATCCATACATGTATAAATAAATATATATTTACATACATAAGTAAAGAAACAATTTGCCATACGCGCTCGACTAAATACTTAGCACTTTCCACGATAACACAAAACTCTAAGGGTCCGTTTTTCAGTGCTGGTTCAAACTCAGTTTAAACGAAGTTATGTTAAACCCAGTTGAAATTTGAACTAAGTTTAAACTACTGACCAGTTTTTGAGTGCGAGTTTAAGGCCGTTTCATAGTTTTGTTGATTTTTAGAACAACACGGGTTTTTCTTTATGCAGATAATGATGACATTTTAAGCTTGCATTGCGGTTGAAAAAACTCAACCTTTAATATGGAAAATGTTAGTCATACGCCATGTACAAACGAGAATGTCGTGTACGTTATGGCGTATGAGTAACATATTTTCTGCCCGTATTGCAATTGCGGCTGCTGTGGTATAGTGTTGTGGTATAAGTGTCAAGCCCTGGTCAAAGCAACATCGCAAAAAAAAAGTAAAAAAAAGATGTTTTTCTTAACAGCGGTCGCCCCTCGGCAGGCAATGGCAAACCACCGAGTGTATTTGTGTCATGAAAAACAGGTTCTCATAAAAATACAATCGCCGTTCGGAGTCGGCGTNTCAGTTGAAATTTGAACTAAGTTCAAACTGCTGACCAGTTTTTGAGTGCGAGTTTAAGGCCGTTTCATAGTTTTGTTGATTTTTAGAACAACACGGGTTTTTCTTTATGCAGACACAAAACGTCAGCTATTTATTTCCACTTTTGGTACGATCGCCTTTAAAGCTCTGAATCATTATAGACGAAAATTTAAAGAATTTGTTAGGTGCTGCATGTGTTGCCCCACCAAATTGCAAGTAAACTCCAACTCAAGTTGCGTTTGTTAATTTTCTTCTGCAGAGTTTTCTTCTTACGTATGAACATTTCGCTTATTTATGTATGTGCCGCTAAATGAGCCTGTTTTCGTGTATTTCGCAAACATGACCGCAAATATACAACTTAATGGCGGTTAGTTTAAACTCGGTTTAACCCAGCCAGATTGGGTGTTTAAACCTAGTTTAAATTACGTTTAAATTTGAGGGAAAAACTTCACACTGATTTAAAATTAGTTTAAACGGCAAACAGAATTAAATTCGCACTGAAAAACTGGTCGTTAGTGTGAAGATTAGTTGGTTTTATGAAGATTTTATAGGGCTCTACTATCCTATTATAGAACTTGTTTTATGTAGAGTGGAGAAAATTAAGGTTTTGTTTGTTTTTTTCCAAGTAGATACTATATTTCTGGTACCTTGTTGTATTCCAAATTTACTTTATGGCTGCTAGAAACAAGATAGAATAAGTACTTTTTAAGCAAAAGACACAACCGACTTCAATTCTCATATAAAAATTTAAGAGTTAAGTTAATTTCTTCATGCGGCAATGATTGGATCTAAACCAAGTTATTGTGGGACCACCTCGGAGATACTACCTTTCTGATAGAAAAACGATTAGCGAAATCGGTTGACGTCTTGCGATAAAAAAATATTCCGACGAATTGACAACCTTCTCCTTTTTTTGAGGTCGGTTTAAAATTACGGATACTTACGGTGTATAAAAGGTAATCTTTTTAAGAATTCGACAATGGAAAGTACAACAAAATCAAGCAACTACTATTTACTCAACTATGTTCTATCAAAGGAATACTCGAACCTGTAAGACCCTTCTATTTTTCTCTTCCACTTCATTACACTGTAGGAACGCTAAAATGCCACAAAAAAGGCCCAGACACGTAAACTTTATTTTTGATCGTTTTTTCTGGTTCAGATTATTTTCCCAAGATATTTTAATTTTAAA